TGATGAAAGCCTCTGCCAGACCTTGAGGTTCCTGTTCAGCACAAAACACTAGCTTCCCTGAAGGACCCTCTTACAATGCTGGCAGGGGGACACAGACACTGTGGTGACCACAATGACCTCATCAAACCCCTGAGGATGGTCTGAAATACAGGCTGTCAGAGCACCCAACTGCACTGTTTCCCCATGGGATAGTGGGCTGTTTCTCTGGGCACTGCATTAAATAGAGCACTTAAATATACTGACCACCACTGTACTGACACCCAGCAAGTGCCTGCTGTCCATGCACAGAGAAACCAACACTGCACCAGGTTTTGCAAGAAGAAAGAACTTCACAGTCGCTCCCCTGACAAGGAGAGGAGGCTCACTCTGTCTCCCCAGGGAGCAGGAAGGGACTTAAGGCAGGGATGAGAAACAGAAGGCCAAATGGCTGGAGTTGGAGTCTTGGTGTCATGGTCCACACCAGGTGCCCTGGGCCTGGTAGAACCTCTGGGTTCTTTGTAAGTGCCCTGGTCTCTCTGACCCCATGCTCCCTCCTGCAGCTGTGGCTGCACCCTGGCTTCTAACCCAGGTCTGCAAGACCCACTTCTGGTTCCTCAGCTTCTCATCCTTGGAGACATTTGGTTCCTCTCAGCTCTCAAGGTCTGCAGCTGCATCCTGAAAAAGCAACTTGCAAACAGTTTTTAGAAACAGGGAAGTTGTGGTGTATGGCCCATTTTCACACCCAGAATTACATATTTAAATGTGTTAAACTCTGATTAGGCTGGATGACCACAGTGCTAAAGGATACTTGTATTTTTGCTTATTAATTAAAGAGGGGACCATAGGATGTCACAACCCCTTCAAAGGGAGAATGAAGGGCACCTCAGGCCACTGGGAAGGTTGAGAGGCATTTATGAATAGATTCCCAGGCTCAAAGGGCTGGAGTGTCTCTGGGCACAAGTCATTTCCAGTGCTTACCTTGGGATGGGGCACAATTTGCTTTCATTTGAAAACTCCACGACTTGGATACTTGTTTTCACTGTAACATATGATACTTTTGTATTATAGAGCAACTCAAGAAGGGGAAGACGGGCAACCAGCATTTATAATATAAAGTTTAAAATCTTCATTCAAGCCTGGGATAACAAGTCCTTCCCTCCACCTTCCCACCCGACTCCTGGCTGCACAGGGGTCCTGTGGGGCTTGGTAATGGTGCCTGCGTCATAGTAAATTTCCTTTTAAACTTGACTTTTATAAACAGGAATCCCTGACTGGACCTTGACACCTACAGGCACCAAGGAGATTGAAGCCACAGGATGACGGACTCCTGCATCCCATCCCTGTACTCAGGAGGAGACCCCCAAGAGGGGCAGCTGAACAGGAGGAAGGGACACCAACATTGAACTGGGAATGTGTGGTTCTTACCCGGGGATGCTGGTCCAGTATGCCCATCAAGATAACAACAGCAACGAATGGGAACAGCACAGTTATTGAATTCTGTGCCCAAAGCTCTTTCTGCTTAAATCCAAAGAAGAATTCACTGAAGTAAGCACCATCACTCCCATTTTATAGATTACAAAACTGAAGCCAAAGAGGTTAAGTAACTGTTCAAGTTCACACAGCCAGAAGATGGGGGACCTAGACTAACTCTGACTTCACTGAATTAAAAAGTCCAACCTTGTAACCACTCTTTTGTACCATCCAGCTGTGGGAACTTCTTGACACCAAACTTAATTTTGGTTGATTGAAACCTAACCATAAATATTGAAACCACAAAAATAACTTGAAGAAAACCAGAAAAAATGAGAAACATACTTTTGAAGGGAGGGCTATCCTTTTAAGCAAGATATGAAACCAATAAATACTAAAAAAAACTTCTGACACCTTTGACTTCATGAAATAACATTTTGGCGCATGG